TGGTGGAGGTGGAGGTGGTGGTGGGGATAGGGAGGTTCTGGAGGAAGGCCATGGATCAGTGGCAGCTAGTGGGGCTCCGGTGAAGGTCTGTGGCAGCCATGCCCTTCCCTGGTGCCAGCCGGAGCCTCCCAGAGCCTGCACCGGGCTCCTTGGCCTGAGCCCGCGGACCCGGGTGTCTGGCAGCACGGTGGCCCGGCTGCTGGGTGGGTGGCGACTTACAGGAAGAGGTTCTCCATGATGTAGTGGTAGTCAGGGGAGCTGCTGTCCGGGAGGAAGCAGGCCGCAAAGACGATGATGGCGTTGAGGCCTTCGCCGTAGTACCCTGGGGAGAGGCGGTCGGAGTGGCTGAACAGGCCCCCGCACACCTGGCCAGTGCTGTCCAAGCTCTGAGCCGTCCCAGGCCACCGTGGCATCAGTCCCCCTTCCCCCACCCACATGCTCGGGAAGACACTGCCCTGAGCCGCAGCAACCTGGCAGGGAGCTGAACCCCCCAAGCAGTCTCTGCCTTGGCTGGAGATCCGCAGCCATTGTCCTGGTCACCACGTGTGTATCTGCCACACCCACCCTGTCCTAGCCAGCCCACCCTCCTCCAGCAAGATGAAGGCTTAGAATTCCCAGAGAGCAGAAGAAGAACCAGGGTCCAGAGGGGCCCCCTGATGGGCCCCCAGCTGCCCAGCATTCCTGGACAACAGGGGGGCAGGGGTCCCAGGGCGCCAGGCTCACCTCCGTGGGTGACCACCTTCATGTACGGCCGGATCATGTGCAGGTCAATGCGGTGCTCTTGTTCCCCAATGATCACCGTCCGCCACAGGCGCCCGTTGGCGGCACTGCCATCCTCTGCTGCGCCGTCCCCAAACAGGTCTGCACTGTCACCGGGCATGTTCTTGGCAGTGGCCACAGGGGTATCATCTGGAAGCACGCCGGGGTGAGCAGAAGGGCTGCTAGAGTCCAGACATCTCGCCACCCTCCCTCCGGCCTCCCTCTCACGGTACCCACTGCTGCCGGGGGCACGTGGCTTCTCCCACCTGGCTGCTGTGTCCCCATCTTCCTCCCCTCCCCCAGGCCTGGCTCAAAACCACCTCCTCCAGGAAGCCTCCCACGATTGCACCCCAGTCTGCAGGCCGCTCTGGGCCTCCTGCACCTCCACCCCGCCACCCTGGCCATTTCCCTCTTCTTTAAAAATCTTGTTTTATTTATTTATTTATTTTGGATGCGGTGCTGAGCCTGAACCCAGTGCCTCCCCCGTGCTGAGCCCCAGCCCAGCCCCTTTTTGCTCTTAAAACAGTCACTTTCTGCACACATTTCCCAACAGATGTCAGCAACTGGGAACAAAGGCCACAGGCCAGGGCCTGTGTCCCCTGCGGCCAGCACCCAGCTGTCCTCTGTCCTCTGGGCATCTCACTCACACAGGTAGGCTACGTTCGGCTGACTGATCCTGTTAGGGTGGGGCTGGGAGAAGTGGGGGAACTGGGAGTCAGAAGTCTCAGCCAAGTGCTAATGGACACTAGTGTTACCTTTACACTGAGGAGCGGAGAGTGGCCAGCAGAGTGGCCAGTACTCATCCAGTCGGGGGAGCTGGGTGGAGCCCGCTTCTGCAGGACTCGCTGTGTGACCTTGCACACAGGACCGCCCTCTCTGGGCTCCCAAACTGCCCTGAAAATGGCCACCTCTCTAGGCTGGGCTCAGCGGCAGAGCGCGAGGCCCTGGGTGTGATCCTCAGCACCACACGAAACCAGCAAAATAAAGGTCCATCGGTAACTTAAAAAGAAAGGCCACCGCTGTGACACGTGTTCTTCTGGTCACAGCGTGACCGTGGGCCCCACGCTCAGGCCACAGACGTGCTGTCACCTTGGCCCCTCTGCACTTTGTGCCCCTCACCCACCCAGCAACCACGGCAGGCCCCACTTCCAAGGGGACCCCCCTGCCACTTCTCTGCACCAGCAGGCCACCAGCAGGCCACCCCCCCAGGCTAAGGTCCCCCCTTCCTCTGACCCCAGCTGCCCCTCTGGTGGCTCCCGGAAGCCTTTGCTCTCAGTGGCCCTGGACCCTCTGTCCTGCACCCCACGGGGCCAAAGCCAAGCCCCTGGCCGAGGCCACCTCAAGCCACACCCTCGGCCGCTGCTGCCCCTGTCCCCTCGGCCTCGCTCGGCCCCGCCCCACGCCAGTGGCACTGCTCCCGCTGGAGAGTCTCCTCTCCAACGTCCACCCTGTGCTGACCCCCGTGGAAGGGACCCCACCCTGTGGTCCTGGCCCAGGTCTCCCAGGGGCACCGTGGACACGGCGGGGTCCTTCTCTGGGTGGTGTCCTGGGCACTGGCAGCGAGGGGCACTGCAGGCTGCCAAGCTACAGGCTGGGAGCTGCCCCCACCAGCAGTGACAACTAAATGTCCCCAGACAAGGCCCGGTGTCCCACGGTGGGGCGGACGCGGCGGTGAGAGGCCCCTGCCCACGTGGCTTCCTGAGCTCCCCGTGCGTGTGGCTGGTGCCCGGGGCACCCTGATCTCTGCTTCCTGCCCGTCAGTGTCCACGGCCCTCCCTGGACCTCCAGCGCCTGGGTCAGGACCTGCCCCCACGAGTCCGCGTCAGGGGCAGGCTGGGAGCGCGTCGCCCCGCCACTGCTGAAAGCCACGTGCCCCAGGAAAGTCCACGAGCCTGCGGGATTCCCTGCCCAAGGGTGGCCCCCGTCAGTGCCCTGTGCAGCCTGCCGCTCCCGGAGCTGCCCGCGAGCTGGCGAGCCCGACTGGGGACAGGGTGGGGCACTGGGCGGCCGCGGCGGCCCTCACCTTCCCACTCAAGCTCATTCCCGTTCCCCAGAAACTCCAGCGAGTCCGTCTCGTCGGGGGTCTCGATGTCGTCCACGTTGATGTCCAGGTCATCGGGCGTGTCCAAGAAGTCGTCCGACAGCAGGGAGCCCTCGCTCTGGTCCAGGGAGATGTTGATCTCCGGGGCCACCAGGGTCTTCCTCTTGCGGTGAGCTCCCCCCAAGTTCAGGGCGGTGGGCGGGGCTGCGGGAGAGACCGACCCTGTCCTTCTCCTGTCCCTCCTCCAGATCCCACCGCCCCCACCTGCCCAGGGGAGTGCTCAGCAGCCTGCGGCAGAGCTGGCCTCCCGCTCCCTGGACGGCGCTCCCTGCAGGTGGAGCGTCCTCCCCACGCCCGCGGCTCCTCCAGATCCCACCGTGACATCCCTGATGTCCTGTGGCAGCAAGTGCTGCCTATCTCCCGGACAGGAGCGCCAAGTGCTGTGCAGCCTAGGGCCACCCACCACCGGGGGCAGCGAGGGGCAGACCCCAGCCCCTTGGCTCACCCTGCCCTCCCCCCAGGAGTGGGTCCAGGGCACAGATGCTTCCCCTGGCTGACCGGGCACGGTGACAGCAAGGCTCAGGTCACGCCGTGACACTGGCCACCGGCAGGGAGGCAGGGGCCCCACCATGTGGGCCCAGAGGGCAGGGATTTGAGCCAAAGAGGATTATTTCCAAGCTTTAAAATCAAATGGAATTCGCTCTAAAAAAATGGACTTTGGGAATCTGCCCAGGTCTCCGGCCTCAGGCTGGCTTGGGACCCTGGATGGTGGCCTTCCTGTGGCCCCGGCTTCCGGGAGGTGACCCCGGCTTCCAGGTTCCCGGCTGAGAGAACCCGTCCCGGGTCGGGGACACCTGAGACTCAGCCAGGTCTGAGACGCCTGGAGACTTTGTCGGGGCTGGGGGCTGCCTAGCGGGTGGAGCCCTGTCCCCCTGGGCACCGGGCCCGAGGTGGACCCCAGCCACCTGGGCCTTGGACTTGCAGCCTCCAGAATGGAGAGCGAAGGAACCCTCAGCTTTAGCTGCCTGGTCCCTGGGACCCCACAGCGGCCCCCGGAGAGCCACACACTTGGTGGCACGAGTGTGGCTCCTGGAATCCTGGTCCTAGGCTGGACGTGGCCTGGGGACCTGGTGCTCTCCTCCTGCCCATGAACAGTTACTGCAGGAAGCCGAAAGGCCAGGCCGCCCGGAGCCTGGGAGGCCCGGTCCCCAGGAGTGGACGCCTGTGCCTCTTTCCTTCCTCCACCTTCTCTCCCTCTCTCCCTCCCTCTCCCCCTCCCCCTCCCTC